TTTCATTCCTTTCTGCAGCTAAATGGGACGTCTCGAGCATTGACGGATCTTTTACTATCGCCATATTGAAAAGCTCTCCAATCATGAATCCACCCCGGGCGAAGAATCTCTGCCAGTCCCTGGGTGCATCACTAATATCTTGGGATATGCTACATAAGGCATGGTCGTTTTCCGCATCTTTCAGCAGCACCTTGTACAGCATGTTTCTCAAGCAGTATATGACAAGTCCTACTTTTCGTTCTCAACCAAGATACTACATGTCCTACACGTCAACTGACAAGTGGCTACGACAATTTTGGATACAACCAACATCCAGTGGTTCCGTTCTCCACAGTGTAACAGATAGCTCATTACCTAATCTTCCTTCATTTATGCTGAAGATAACTGGTGCACCCATCTGTTTCAGTAAGTAATCAATGCTGTTCTTGTTCAAACTGCCTTCAGCAAACAGACTCTTGGATCTTACCTCGCATAGGTTGATATCAATGAAAACGTCCTGGATTACATCTTTTTTGTGATATAGTGGGCAATTACACCAGGGAATGTTTGAAAGCAGGGAGTCGTACAAAGTTTGTACTCTTGCACGACTGGCTGGTGAAAGTACGATAAATGCAGGAAAGTTGCTTTGTACAGGTCTGCTCTCGGTATAACAACTCTCACTTGTACATAAACCTCGCTACAGTCCATTCAGAAAAAGATGGACTTCTAGCTTTTGGCCATAAATGGGTCAAACTTTGAGTTTTTTAGAATTTTTTTCTGCAATCCCCTATGGAATCCTCTTCCAATTATGTTTCTGAAGTTTTTTTTGTCCAAAAAGCAAGCCATAACAAGAATAGAATTTCGGCCAGGTTTTGCCCCAACAGCACTGAATTGGGAAAAACCATAAAAATCCAGGCCGTTTGACCCCGCCTGCAAACGTGCATTGTGCGGTTCGAACCCCAGTTCAGGTACCCTTTCTGGACCCTTTTTCAAATTTCAAATTTCGCAGCACTGCACTGTGTACGATGAAATCACGAAAAATCGCCAAATACGGGAGCTCGCCAGAGCCAGAGCCCATCTTTTTATGAATGGACTTTAGTAAGTAAAACATCAAATCCCGCGCCGGAAACAGCATCACTCCCATACAAATTTTGTTCTACACAACATAATCCTACATAACATAAACCTCGACGTATCACACGCTACGGCGCGGTCTCTGACGTGCGCGCCCTCGATACAACGTAAATTCACGTGCACGGTACGATCAAGCGGTAGCTGTAGCTAGGCAGTTTAGGCCAGTTTAGTCCTACATAACGTAAGCCTCGGCATAACACACCCTCTGGCACGGTCCCTGAGTGCGCACTCTCGATACAACGTAGATTCACGTGCGCGGTACAATCAAGCTGTAGCCGTAGTTAGCCAGTTTAGTTCTATTGTGCATATATTCTGTGGCATTGATGGTATCTGATGTCGATGGTGGTACAGTGTGTATATAGTCTGGGGGCCAGGGGTATTATTTTTGAAGTTTCGTTCCGGGTAAGAGGGCACCAAGTTTTGTCGATTTGAGTGTCAAGTATCTTCAAAATGCTGCAAGATGGTATGCCATTCAATCAAAATTTCCATCGGGAAGGTAATACAATGAAGGTTGAAAGAATTGATGATGGTTGCCATGGCAACACCTCACTTAATTCAAATATACAGGAGAACTATGCGATATTTTGACAAAATTCCTGCTGGATATAAACATATCCAATACGTATAACTGGTTGGCCAAGTTTGACTGAAAACAAATAAACTTCAGGGCCTCAAAGGTGAATTATAAAGTCGGATCTACTGCAACTATACATTACTGTACATACGTATAATTAAATATGCATGCATACACCGACAATTGTATAAATATATTGGTGACCAGTGTACATGTGACATCTATAAAGCCTTTAAGAAAAGAGTTAGAAATGAATAGAGTAGTCTGTGACCAATGGTGATCTAATGGATATACATGTACATGTACATGCCTGAGATGGCATGAAACTTTAAGTTGTGACTGATCAAGCCATCTGTTGTTCTGACTAGTGTGTACATGTACATGTACATGTATGTATGTATGGCGAAGAGGAAAATGTAGAGGGAAATAGAGCACGCCAGAGCAGTTCTCTAAGTACCTATCAGTAGGAAGCAACAAAGAAGAGCTTGT